TGGAAAGGCACAATTTGATTCGTGATAGTCAGCATGGATTTGTGAGGGGTAGGTCATGCCTCACAAACCTTATTGAATTCTTTGAAGAGGTGATCAAACACATGGATAAAGGTAGAGCAGTGGATGTAGTATACATGGATTCAAGTAAGGCGTTTGATAAGGTTCCCCATGGTAGGCTCATGCAGAAAGTAAGGAGGCATGGGATAGGGGGAAATGTGGCAGATTGGATTTAGAATTGGTTGACCCTTAGAAGACAAGGGTAGTAGTGGACGGAAAGTATTCAACATGGTGCTCAGTTACGAGTGGTGTACCACAAGGATTTGTTCTTGGTCCTCTACTAATTGATGATTTTTGTAAATGATTTGGATGAAGGAGTGGAAGGATGGATTAGTAAGTTCGCGGACGATACGAAGGTGGGTCGAGTTGTGGATAGTGCGGAGGGCTGTTCTAGGTTACAAAGGGACATTGATAGGATGCAGAGCTGGGCTGAGAAGTGGCAGAGTTTAACCCTGAAAAGTGTGAAGTGATGCAGTTTGGAAGGATAAACTTTAAAGCAGAATACAGGGTTAACGAAAAGATTCTTGGCAGTGTGGAGGAGCAGAGGGATCTTGAGGTTCATGTTCACAGTTCCCTGAAAACTGCCACCCAGGTGGACAGAATTGTTAAGAACGCGTATGGTGTGTTAGCTTTCATTAATAGAGGGACTGAGTTCAAGAGCCGTGAAGTTATGCTCCAGCTATACAAAAGCCTGGTTCGTCCACATCTGGAGTATTGTGTCCAGTTGTGGTCACCTCATTACAGGAAAGATGTGGAAGCATTGAAAAAGGTGCAGAGGAGGTTTACCAGGATGTTGCGTGGAATGGAGGGAAGGCCTTACGAGGAAAGGTTGAGAGAGGTAGGGCTTTTCTCTTTAGAATGACGAAGGATGAGAGGTGTCTTGATAGAGGTGTACAAAATGATCAGAGGTATAGATAGAGTAGACAGCCAGAGACTTTGTCCTAGAGTGGAGGTAGCTATTACGAGGGGGCATAGTTTTAAAGTGAGTGGAGGTAGATAAAGGGGAGACATCAGAAGTAGGTTCTTTACTCAGAGAGTGGTCGGGGCATGGAATGCATTGCCAGAGAGGGTAGTGGAGTTGGCCTCATTAGGGGCATTTAAGCGGCTATTAGATAGGCATATGGATGATAGTATAAGGTAGGGCTGGAGGTTAGATAGACCTTAGGATTCAGGTAAAAGCTCGGCACAACGTCGTGGGCCGAAGGGCCTGTACTGTGCTGTACTGTTCTATGTTCTATGTTCTGATGTCCTTTAGGGAAGGAAACTGCCAAATTTACCTGCTCTGGCCTACATTTGACTCCAGGCCCACAGGCCAAGTCATTGACTGTCTTTAGGATAGAGATGGATAGGTTCTTGATTAGAAAGGTGGGGGGTGGTGGGGTGGTCAAAGGTTATGGGGAGAAGGGAGGAGAGGGGGGGTTGAGAAACATACCAGCCATGATCGAATGGCAGAGCAGACATGACAGTTTGAATGGGCCTAATTCTGCTCCTATATCTTATGGTCTAATGTCGTTGACTTTTAACTGACCTCTGGGTAATTAGCGATAGGCAATAAATGCTAGTCCAGCCACAGTAGCTCACGTCTATGAATGATTTAAAAAAAATCCTTAATGTGTTCAAGAAGGGGTTGGACGTAGAGCCTGGGGCTAACGGGATCAATGGGTTTTGTAACAATCCAGATTGTTTTTAAGTGTGTTGAGGGTTTTGTTCTGGGCAATGAAATCCAGATAACACTCCGAGCAGAAGAGATTTTCCTCACATCTTCTTGTTATCCTTCTACTTAGTTCCGTGTCGCCTGTAATTCACCTCTTCATTCGGGGAAAGCGATCTTATCTGTGCATGCTATATACACAATGATGAATTCATCTCTTCTGTTGAAAGGAAAGCTAAACTCATCTATCCAATCTGTCCTTACAGCTGCAATTTTCAAATCCTGGCAATTTGTCTGCACCCATATGACCATAAGAAATAGGAGCAGACTTAGACTATTCAACCCATTGAGTCTGCTCTTCCTTTCGATCATGGTTGACGTTTCCCAACCCCATTCTCCTGCCTTCTCCCCGTAACCCTTGATCTCCTTATTAATCTGACAGAAGTTCACAAAATTATGAGAGGTGTGGATTGAACGGAGAGTCAGAATCTTTTCCCCAGGGTAGTAATGTCAATTACTAGGGGACATAGTCCAAAGGTAAAAGGGGAAAAGTTTAAAGGAGATGTAAGAGGCAGGTTTATCACAAAAAAGGTGATAAGTGCCTGGGATAATGCAGTGTGGATCTGGAGGAACACAGTTGACGTTTCTGGTCAGGACTGTTCTTCAGAAACGAAGTCTTCCCGACCCGAAACATCAACTTTCCTGCGCCTCTGATGTTGCCTGGCCTGCTGTGTTCCTCCAGCTCCACGCTGTGTTATCACTGACTCCAGCATCTGTAGTTCTTACTATCTCTGATAAGTGCCTGCAATGTGCTGTCAGAGGAGGTGATGGAGGTAGATGCAACAGCAATGATTAATGGGCATCTTGACAGATACATGAATAGGTAGGATTAGAGGGATATGGACCGCACAAGGTTTTTAATTTAGAAAGGTGTCATATGTCAGCACAGGCATGCTGGGCCAAAGGGCCTGTTCCTGTGCTGTATTGTTCTTTGTTCATTGTTTTTTGTTCTTTGTAATCAAGAACCTATCTGTCCTAAAGACATTTCACCCCCTCTCTTTCTTTCCTTCCTTTTTTCTCTCTCTCTCACAGTCTTTCTCTCTCTCTCTTTCTTTCTTTCTTTCTTTTTTTCTCTCTTTCTGTCTCTCTTTCTTTCTTTCTCTCTCATACGCTCTCTTTCTCTCTCTCTCTTTCTTTCTCTCTCTCATATGGTCTCTTTCTCTCTCTGTTTCTTTCTCTAGCTCTCTTTCTTTCTCTATCACACTGTTTCTCTCTCTCCCTTCTTTCTGTCTCTCTCACACATGCTCCCTCTTTCTCTTTCTTTCTCTAGCTCTCTCTTTCATTCTTTCTCACTCTCTTTCTTTCTCTAGCTCTCTTTTTTTCTCTATCACACTGTTTCTCTCTCTCCCTTCTTTCTCTCTTTCTCTCTCTCTCTTTCTTTCTCTAGGTCTCTCTTTCATTCTTTCTCACTCTTTCTTTCTTTCTCTACCTCTCTGTGTTTCCTCTCTCCCTCATGCTGTTTTTGTCTCTCTCTCTCCTTTCTTTCTATCTCTCTCTCACACACTGTCGGTTTCTTTTTTTTCTCTCTTTCTCTAGCTCTATCTTTCTTGCTCCCCCCCCCTCTCTCTTTCTTTCTCTACCTCTCTCTTTTTTTCCTTCTTTCGCCCCTCACCCCCAAGCTCTCTCTCTCTCTCTCTCTCTGTCCTGCCCCTCCGTAATGTGTGACCAGGAATATACAGGAAACATCAGCTGTAGCTCAGCATTACTTCCCTGATCCTGTCTTCAGTACCTCTCCAATGAAGGATAGTATTCTTTCTACCTTCATAACCACCTCATCGATCTGTCCTGCCATCACCAGGTATCTGTGAATATGCAAATCAAGATCGTATGATTTATTGACTGACTCCTTCCTTGCTCCCAAATGTATAATCTGGTACTTCTCTGCATTGAATTCCATTTGCCACATTCCTACCCACTCAGCCAAACCATTAATACCTTTGTGCAATCAGCAGCCATCCTCTTCATTATCGACTACCTGAATTTTTGCATCACTTATATAAGATACTAAGGGGGATTGACAAAATTGTTGTGGAGAGGATGCTTCCCCATGTAGAGCATGCTAGAACATGCTAGGTCACAGTCTTACGATAAGGGGCGGCAGATGGGGAGGAATTATTTCTCTCAAAGAGTCGTGAATCTGTGGAATTCACTCCCCCAGAGTGCGGTGGGTACTGGGTAACTGGGTAAATATAAGGAGGAGATACACAGATTGTTAATTGGTAACAGGTTTATGGGGATGGGTAAGAAGGCGGAGTTCCTCCAGATCTTTCCACTTTTGTTTTTATTCTCACAGGAGGCACAGTACAATTGTTACACGAATCACAAAGTCACTTAGTTCCTGATTCAAGCTCAGAGCAACTGGTGGGAGGAAATAACTGGCTTTCTTTAGGCCGCTCAGATATTTTTGCTGCAGGGAGAGTGAGATTCACAGCCTGCCCTTATAACAGTCCAAAGGCTTCTTACTATATTGTTCACACCCACAAGCTACCCAGGAATAGAACCAATCAGAGACTGCTGGTCAGGCTCACAATCTTTGCATTCTAATATTTGTCACAATTACATTAAAAAAATTCAGCTTCTTGTTGTTGGTCATATTATACTGTACACGCCCAACCTGTGTCACCAACAAACACATTCCCCTCACTTGTTGAAGAGGGCAGTGGTACAAACAGATACAATGAGTTTCACTAACTTATTTTTTGAAAAAGCATCAATTACTTCCACAGACCCTTCCCCCATTTTAGCCCACAGTCAGAAATGCAGAAAATGGAATGATATGACCTCTGGTCTATTCCTTGGGCAGCCATTATTTCACACAGCAAGATCCCAATCGGCAGCAAACAAAACATGGGAAGCACAGTTCAATAGCACCAGTCCACATGTTGAGATGTTTGTTTTACTTGGCAAGGCCTTCTGTTCTTTGACTTTATTTCTTCAGATTCTTCCACTCTTTCTTTTTTGAATGAGGCATGGAGTGGTTGGTATACAAACTACAAAGTCTCTTCATTATTGGTTCAAGGCAACAGCTTAGGGCTGGGCGGTAATTGTTTCTTCATCGCTTCAGGTGAGTGAGGAATGGACGCTGGGAACTGGATTGTTAGCTCAAACGGGATCTGCAGGATTATGGAGAATAAGGTGGGGGGACCGGAGTGGCTCTTGCAGAAGGCCAGCAAGGGGCAGAATGGCCTCTTTCTACACATAAACACTCCGTGTTTCTCTGTATTTCCTCCAGGCTTCGGCAGGATCATTGACAATGGACGGGCCAGAGTCGATAGAAATTCTGTGTTTTTCACCATAGCAGGTACTTCTCCACGACGTAGTGTATGGGGGAAGACCGGACACCAGGCTTCCTGATTGGAGGAAGGGTGAATAAATTGAGCTTAGCAGCATTTTTAAGCACTGTGCGATGATATTACATTCTGCTGGAATAGTCACACATCGTTTTTCTCAAGAATGACACAAAAATAGGTGGCGAGACAAGTGGGGAGAATGACACAAAGTGTGCAGAGGATTGTGGTGAGTGTGCAAAATTCTTGGCAGATGAAAGAATAATGTGGGGAAATGTGCACTCTGGCAGGAAGAATCGAGGAGTTGAATATTATTTAAATGGAGGAAGACTGCGGAAATCTACCTGAACAGCGGGATTTGCGAGTCCTCATCCATGAAATACAAACAAGTGAACATCCAAATTTAATGGGTAATAGAGAAGGCAAATGGAATGTTGGTCTTTATTTCAAAGGGAATTGAATATATAGGTGGGGAGGTTTTGCTAAAATTATATAAGGCACCAGACAGGTCACAGTTGGAAAACTGAATGATTTTGGACTCTCTAGCTAAGGCTAAGGGGTGGTACGGTGACCCAGTGGTTAACACTAATGGAACACCATCTTCTCATCTGGAAGCCTTGGATAAAAGTTATGCTCCTGACCTGAGATTTTGATGATATGGGTGGCTCAGTGGTTAGCGTGACAGCACGAGGGTCCTGGGTTCGATTCCACCCTCGGGTGACTGCCTGTGTGGAATTTGCACATTCTCTCCGTGTCAGCATGGGTTTCTTCCGGGTGCTCTGGTTTCCTCCCACAGGAACGTGCAGGTTAGGGTGGGTTGGCCATGCTAGTTGTCCCATAGTGTCCAGGGATGTGAAGGCTCGGTGGGTTAGCCATACTAAATGTATGGTTATGGGGGTAGGTGGGATGATCTTCAGAGGGTCAGTGCATACTCAACGGGTTGAATGGTTTCTTTCCACACTGTAGGGATTCTGTGAAAGATAGACTGGCATTGGAGGCAGTCCAGAGAAGGTTCATTCGGCTGATCCCGGGTATGGAAGGACTGACTTATGAGGAGTGTTTGAATAGGTTGGGCCCATACTCATTGGAGTTTAGATGAATGAGAGGCGACCTTGTTGCAACATACAAGAGTCTCAGGGAGACTGGACAGGGGAGATGTGGAGAGGTTATTTCCCCTTGTGGGAGAGTCCAGGACCAGAGGGGCATCATCTCAGAGTAAGGGGTCACCCATGAAGACAGAGATGAGGAGGAACTTCTTTTCTCAGAGGGGAGTGAACCTGTGGAATTCTTTACCGCAGAGGCTGGGTCATAAAGCATATTCAAGGCAGAGACAGATTTTGAATCAGGAAGGGAATCAAGGCGAAAAGACAGAAAAGTGGAGTTGAAGATGATGAAATCAGCCACTGAATGCAGAACAGACTCCAACGGGCTGAATGGCCTACTTCTGCTCCTATGTGTTACGTTCTAATGAATGGATGTTCGATAAAACTATAATGAATTTAAGTGATCTATAAACATTAATCTATACTCCACACAATCCTGCTCACAGCCTTCCTTCCTCTCAACCCATCAGTCCATCCTCAGATTCCTATCTTCCTTATGTGTTTAGACAACTCTTATAGATGGGGAGGTGATGGCCTAGTGGTATTATCGCTGGACTGTTAACGCAGAGACCCAGATAGTGTTCTGGCGACCTGGGTTCAAATCTCGCCACAGCAGATGGTGGAATTTGAATTCAATAAAATATCTGGAATTAAGAATCTAATGATGGCTGTGAATCCATTGTTGATTGTCAGGAAGAACCCATCTGGTTCACTAATGCCCTTTAGGGAAGCAACTGCCCCATAAAATATCTGGAATTAAGAATCTAATGATGGCTGTGAATCCATTGTTGATTGTCAGGAAGAACCCATCTGGTTCACTAATGCCCTTTAGGGAAGCAACTGCTATCCTTACTTGGTCTGGTCTACAGCAATGTGGCTGATTCTTAACTGCCCTCTGGGAAATTAGGGATGGGCAATAAAAGCTGCCTAGCCAGCAATGCCCTCATCCCATTAATGGATAAAAAAAACCCTCCCCTTTCACCTCAACCACCCCAGTGTACCTGTCTAGTAAAGAAGCCCTACAAAACCACAACTGGAAGCTGGAGTTAAGATACAGATACTCTTGAACTTGAGTTACGATCTAATCCTTCTGATCATTTAAGGAAGAGAAGCATTGTTTAATAACGTGTTAATTATGTTTAATTATATTGAGGTGAAAAGCATTAAATTGGGCTTTTATCTCAGAGTTAGGAGGTGCATGCTTGTAATTTCTTACGCTGCAAATAAATGTTTAACTGTGTACAGATTGGTTGTGGCTCTCTCCTTTACCTGAAATATAACAGCTTGGGGTCTTAAGCAGCAAGATGGTACAGATTGTTATTAAAAGCGAACACTTACATCATTCCCCACATCTCCAGCCACAGCCACCATTGTTATAGCAGAGTTCATAACCGCAATTGCACATCTCATTAATCCACAGACAGTTCATGAACCTTCCCTGAGTTAAATTGACATTACAGGACCTGGGCACTTAGAAAGCGCCTTTCTAACTTATCCCCTGAACTCATGGGGCCATAAGGGACGAGAAATAGGAACAGGAGTTGGCCGTTCGGCCCATCGAGCCTGCTCCACCATTCAATAGGATTGTGGCTGATCCAACATTCTTCACGTCCACTTTCCTGCCCTTGCCCCTTAACCCTTAATTCCCCGACTGATCAAGAATCTATCTCAGCCTTCAATATACACAAGGACTCTGCCCTCACAGCTCTCTGTGGCAAGGAGTTCCAAAGACTCTGAGAGAAGAAATTCTTCCTCATCTCGGTCTTAAATAGGCATCCCTTTATTCTGGGACTGTGCCCTCCTGTCCTGGGCTCTCTCATGTGGGGAAACATCCTCTCAGCATTGACCCTTAAGAATCTGATATATTGCAATGAGATCACCTCTCATTCTTCTAGAGTCCCAACCTGTTTAACCTTGGCTCATAAGACAATCCCACCATACTGGGGATCATCCTCACGAATCCCTCACTCCCCCTCAATTCCCCTCACCTTAGAATGATTTAGAAAGAAAGCCCTGCATTTATATAGCAACCCTTGTGAGCGCCAGACAGCTCGGCCAATGAAGATCCTTACAAGGTGTAATGTAGGAAATCCAGCAGTCTATTTGCACCCAGTCAGATCAGAGAAGCAGCAATTTGTGGCATTTTTGCTCTCTTGTAATGTCAAGCGAGGGTGTAAATAATCTCTAAAGACTCAGGAGGGCTCCTCGGCTCTTCCTGAAGATCGCAGCCAGGAAAATATTTATGTCCACCAAAGTATAATCAGTTGCCACTCTCCGCTGGAAGGGGGCATCTCCAACAATGTAGCACGCCCTCAGCTGAGCGCCAATGGTAATTTAGCCAGAGATGCAATGGGGCAAATAAAGTAGTCCTCAGGTTGAGCAGACTGACAGAGCTCTATAGGTGAGATACTTACTCATCCTCTTGCTCTTTCGTTCCTGCATTTCGCCTCTACCCTGAGGAGCGCTGATCCTACAACCCGCTGAAAAAGAGAGAGTGCATTCCAAACAGAGAAAAACTTGCATTTAGGTAGCACCTTATGTGACTGCTAGTCTTTTCAAGGCACCTTGCAGCAATTGAATCTGCACTGCAGTCCCGCGGGACACACATCTGTCAATCCACGTGCAGCAAGATCCCACAAGCGTGGAGTCATAGAATAATACAGCATGGAAACAGGCCCTTCAGCCCAACTCATCTGTGCCAACCAGGTTTCCGATTTGCAGGCCTTTGGCCCTTATCCCATAGATAAGGTGAGGGAATAGATAAGGTGGAGGCAGGGAGGTTGTTTCCGCTAGCAGGTGAAACTAGGATTAGAGGGCATCGCCTCAAAATAAAGGAAAGCAGATGTAGGACTGAGGTCAGGAGGAACTTCTTCACTCAAAGGGTTGTGAATCTGTGGAATTCCCTGCCCAGTGAAGTGGTTGAAGCTACCTCGCTGAATGTTTTTAAGGCAAGGCGAGATAAATTTTTGAACAGTAAAAGAATTAAGGGTTATGGTGAGTGGGCGGGTAAGTGGAGCTGAGTCTCAAAAAGATCAGCCATCGTCTTATTAAACAGTGGGGCAGGCTCAAGGGGCAAGATGGCCTACTCCTGGTCCTAGTTCTTATGTTCTTATCCTTTTTCTATCCCTGTACCTGTCCAAATGTCTTTTAAATGTTGTCATTTTACCCGCCTCTACCACTCTTTCTATCAGCTCACTCCATATACAGCACCCTCTGTGTGAAAATGTTGCCCCTCAGGTCCCTTCTAATTATTTCCTCTCTCACCTTAAAAATATGGCTTTTAGTTTGGACTCCCCTACTCTGGGGAAAAGACCTTGGCTATTCAACTTATCTATGCCTCTCATGATCTTATGAACCTCTATAAGGTCGCCATCACCCTCCAATGCTCCAGGGAAAACAGGTCCCAGCCTATACAGCTTTTCCTTATAACTCAAAACCTACAGTTGCAGGAACATTCTTGTAAATCTTTTCTGCATCCTTTATCCTTTAGTAGTATCCTTCTAAGATCAGGGTGACCAGAATTGTACACAGCACTCCAAAGGTGGCCTCAACAATGTCCTGATGCAGCCATAACATGACATCCCAACAATGGTACTCAATGCTCTGACCGATGAAGGGAACCGTGCTAAATGCTTTCTTTGTTGCCCTGCCTTCCTGTGATGCCATTTTCAAGGAGCCATGTACCTGCTCCCCTAGGTCTCTTTGTTCGACACTACTCTCCAGAGCACTACTATTAAGTCTGTAGGTCCTGCTTTTGTTTGTTTTACCAAAATGCAACACCTCGCATTTATCCAAATTAAACTCCATCTGCCACTCTTCAGCCCACTGGCCCAGCTGATCAAGGTCCCATTGTGCTCTCAGATAACCTTCTTCACTGTCCAGTACACCACCAGTTTCGGTGTCATCTG